GATTCGCAGTGAACATCTGCTCCAGCTTCCCGCGTTGAAGCGTAGTTGGATACAAGCGAATCTTGATAACACTGTTGACAGACTTGCTCTCTTCACTTAACTCTCCCAGCGCGCGTAGATCTTCCCGCAGATCTTCGAACGACGGTGTACGCATCGTTCCCCACGTAGTTGCTCTGAACACATCGGTGAAGTTGGTGACGTCGAACCACGACGTAAGCAATCGATCTACCAGAGGTGGATGATGCGAGTTCTTCTCAACCGCTTGCAACGAATCCGCATCTGGCATCCAGAGATCTTTCGCCACCGCAGGATCGAACCACGTCGATGGATGAACGAGCACTCTCCCGTTTGTGGTTGTCTTCTGCTCTGCAGACTTGGCAGTTCTGCTTGAACGTCGACTCTTAGGCTTCTTCTTGTCAGGCTGATCGACAGTTCTGTCATCTGAAGCTGTCTTCTGTCGCGTAGGCTCAGCAATTTTCTGTGAACGGCGACGCTTAGACTTCTCCTCATCAGGCGGATCGCTCTTTTTTCTTCGCTTGCTGCTCATGGCAACAAAACGAAAATGACGAGATCATAGCGACCGAGCGTGGAAGGATAGAAAATGATTTGTTGCAGTTGAAATTGCAAAATCCAAATGTAGTTTGACGATTGTGATTGGCTTAAAAGTGTACAAACACAGCTGTTTTCCAAAGAGTGACAGCGATTCTCGCACTTTTGTAACGTCACCTCGAACTTCGGTAATGACACATGCTTCGGGATGTACGCAGACCTGAGCAAACTGTTCATACACTGGCTTCGCATCATCGGTTGAAAAAGAGCTCGAACTAGCTGGTTTAAAATCGACACGCCCCCGGCACTTCTCTCTTGCAACGCCGGTTTGGGCGCCTGCATGGCCGGGTGTGTCGCGGCTGGCCTGTTGCCAGCGCCTTAATCGGCCTGTTAGTGCAACTCAAAGAACATGCAAGACAGAAACCAGAAGTGACCAAGAGCATCTTGATTGATCGTGGCACCTGCGGTATCGACTACCTCAATTGCGCGTAAGTAAAGGGAAAATTTTGCACGCCCGTGTTTATTAAATACCTGTTTACCTTCTTACAATAAATGGATTGGAGTCTTGGTGGGATTCTGGGTGACAAGTTCCTTCGAGAGTACTACACAGTGTTCAATTTCCACAATCTAGAAATCGGCATCGCGTGCGGTGGCGTCCCTAAGATGCTCCTTCGGCCTAGTGCTTGGTGGATAAGATCGATATGAGCACTAAACGAGGGCAACACACATTTCACTTGTATGTCGAGACCATGAGATGTGTGTCGTTTGCTATATTTAACGGATCGCTGTTGCCGACGGAAGTTCGGAAACATTCCGGTGTAGGAACAATTCCTGAATTGGTCGACGCAAAAACGAGGTCACCTCACAGAGTAATAGAACATAACTGTATGTCCGTGATGAGGCAGTACAAATAAACTCCGAAAAACGGTCATCGGACCGAGAACCCCACGTAAGGATGTCTACGCTTGCTAGGCACTAGCGCAGACTTATATATCACTCATTTATTTCAACTAACCTTAGTCCCCTCCTTCATTGCTCGAATCGTCAGTTAATCCAATTGGAACGTGTACATATGAACCGTGAATTGTGTAGTCTCGCCTCAGCCAGATTGAGGTCAGAATGCGCTCTCCGCACCTTGACTTGGTGTGTTTTCATCGCCGTTCGAGCTGTCCATGGGTTGGCCTCCAGACTTGCTCCCACTGCTATTTTCATTGCTGTTGCAACTGTTTCTCGAGTTTCTTGCTGCCTCCTTGCGCAGTTTGATCTCCAGAATGCTTTCCATCACCTTCAGATGTTTCTCCTGCAGTGCGATCATTCTCTCGAAGGCGTTTCCCTGCTGCACTCGTAGGTCCGTCATCACCGAAGTGAGTCCAGCAAGGGCTTCCCTCGTATTGGATGCCTCTTTCTGGTACAAGTTTGCAAGGTGGTTCGATGTGGCAGCCGTAAGCCTTTCGATCGCGCTGATTAGTGACGCGTCGTGAACAACCACGGTCGGCTTGAAGGCGTCTTCGCTGGATCCAGAGTCATCCGGGGTCGTGGAATCAGCTTCTGTCTCCTTGTTTTCCTCTTGAATAGTCTTGGCCGCGTGGTGCGCCTTGCGGTAAGACATTGAAGTGCTAGAACCCGATTCTCTGGTACCCGAGGACGTATACACATTACGCAGCGTGCCCCAGTACTCTTTGTACCCGGCACTGCGGCGGTCGAAGACGTCGGTATGACGCATATTGTAGGCGTCTCCGTGGCGCATATTACTGGCATGGTACTCGGCATTGAGTGACCGCAGCTTCTTGGCCACTCTCTCGGTGTTGTTGCCTCCAAGGTCCCCGGTTTCTGTCTGCGCCAACGTTTTCGCTGCGTGTAGTTCCCCGCTCGTGTACGACGCTGGTCCAGCTTGCCGTCTTCGAGGCGCTGAATTCAGAGCGCGGCTCACATCGTCGTGCATGTGACGCCAACGTGCCGAACTGTCGGCTTGCTGCTCCATCGCCGCGCTGTGCTCGTTGGGCGCTGCCTTTTTTACCCGATTTGTCGTGCCTGGAGCCATGAAAGAATGCCTCTCGAAAGTGTGTGTAACAGCGTGTCTTGCCACCCCAGACTCGGTTGTAAGCGGTCTTGCGGAGCTGGGAGATCCAGCCCGGAACACACGGCGCCTCTGCATCGGAGTACCTATCGGCATCGTCGTCGCTGGACGTTTTCCGCTGCTCATCATTCCAACATGATGCGTGCTGCTACCATCTGACATGGTCGTCGCCGGTGTAATTTCCGCAGACGCACTAGATGGTCGCTTGGCTGCACTACTGTGAGCAGTTACTGGTAGCCCACCCTGTCCTGCGTCTTTTGTTTCT